GTCAGGGATATCTTAGTAGGGGACAAGGTTAAGCTATTTCCAGAGTTGCAAAAAGACCTACGTTTGCCAGCGAGGGATATCTTTCTATATCTCAGAGTAAAAAATATAATACACTCGCATATCCGCGAACTCACCAGTCGCTCCTTCACTCCCCGCCTACCAATGACACAGTTACTCACCACCAGGCATGTAAAGCCATTGTCAGCGTGCTACAAAGCACTGATCACCGCGACAGTCCCTGACAAGCTGTCATACATGACACAGTGGGAAGAGGACCTGGGTCTCCAGATCCCAAGGGTAGACTGGCTGACAGCTTTGAAAGTCACAAAACGGGCTTCGCAAAGCCTTATGTTCTGGGAAGCATACTGCAAGGTTTTAATGCGGTGGTATCTAGTACCAAAAAGACTAGCATACATGTACCCGGGCACGTCCGGGAAATGCTGGAGGTGTAACATCAGTGAGGGATCCATAATCCATATTTTCTGGGCTTGTCCCCTTCTAACAGACTATTGGGAAAAAGTTCACTCCCTCATACTAGATAGGACAGGATTCACCCTACCCTTGAAACCAGAACACTACATTCTCCACATAGCACCCGGTATTGCCTCCCACCCACACAGAAAGGTAATTCTCAACATACTCACGGTAGCAAAAATAATGTTGGCAGGTAGTTGGAAGAGCAATCAAACACCAGCTATACCCAATATCCTTACTAGAATGGATCTGATCAGTCAGTATGAGAAAATGGCAAGCAGAGCAAACGGCTGTAGTGAGAGATATGACAGAGAATGGAGTAGCTGGCCGGTCGAGAGTTAAAAGGCTGACCAGGGGAAACAAAAACGCATACAGGGATATATATACAACAATGAACTGAAAAATGCAATATCTATTGTCCAGGGTACCCCCCCTTACCCCCTTCCTTTTTTTCTTCTGTACCCCACCCTTATCCCCTAGTTAAAAGTTATAAGAAATCTTGTAAAGCAGCGAGTACAACAGATGTGTAACACAGCAGCTGTTTCTACCCACATGTGGGGTAAACCTTTTAACATACGATATCCACAGCTGCGCCTGTGACTGGTTTGGCATGTCAAAACTGCACTGCGCTGCAAAATGTTTGATTCTTTATGCATTAATAAAAAAGATAAATGAGAAAATCTGAAAATGCTTTCTTAAAAGTTACATAACCTCAAGTTATACATTCTGTTTAAGTAAAAAGTATTACTCTTTAAATAAAAAAATACATTTACTGTTCTTTTTAATATAATATATACATTTTACTGTTTTGTTTTATTCATTTCGATGTTACTTTGAAAATCAAGTAAACTTTTGTTTTCTTTTCTTTTTAGACTTTTCTTTTTTGACTTTTAACAATAATACAACACTATTATTAATGATAAATTCCAGAATTTTTTTTAAAAAAATACACACACAAAATCAAGATCTTAAAAACCTCCATAATTCTGACTTTTTCAAGATTTCCGCTAGATTTAGATTCCTGGAGGGTTAATAAACTCAGCAGTAATTATACGTGGTGACGTGTTTGGACCGTTTTTCTTGTAATGTTTTTATATTCACTTTTCGTTTGTTTGTACGTACTTAATGTTCTAAAAACACACTTGTGTCCAGCACCAGATGTTCTGAATTGTTTGGATAATTACAGGATTTTCCTATTGTAACGGTGGAAAGTTGTAATTCTATAAAAGTTGCAGAGGCTCGTATAGTGCTTAAATATTATTTTTTGCTTCACTTAGCAACAAAATACATAAATCTAACAATTTGCAGGAAGAATAAACCAATATACGGGTACGAGCATTATATCACAACCCTTTCAACCAATCATGTCCCAGCATTCTCTATAGATATAGAGGTCGACATTCTAACCTCTTACTTCCTTGAGAACAAGAGCAGGAAAATCAGTCGTTAAACTCACATGAGCAGAAATTCGTAATTCTTTGCCAAGAAGTAGAGAGAGACACACACACACACACACAGAGAAATAAAATTAGTGTAGTAATATTCAAGCCAAATTAGAAGCACTATGTATAGATATCGAAGAAAGAAAGGGATGATTTAAAAGAAACGTTTATAAGACGGGGTCATAATCGCCTTGACGTCTTTTTTAATATCACAACTTTCCACTTGAACATTAAGGATCTCCTGGAATTTTAATAGAAGAGAGACAATGGCGTTTGTATTATGTTATTTTGAAGCTGTTTAATGACCAAAATCAACAGTGATCAACTTGTGCAAATTAAAATTCCCCGAAGGTTAATTCTCAATATCTGCAAACTTTGTAAGGTATCCTGTTCTACAGAACATCGAGTTTTCTCTGGGCCATTCTTCTCAAGATGTCATGGCACCAAATTCAGATCCGAGAACTAGATGTCCTAAAATGTCCAGCCTTTCTTGTAGGCCTGCAGTGATATACTGTTCCCTTATTCATTTGTACTGCCTGATGTTTGGAGGAGTTCTTTTTTCTAATGTCATGTAAATTTTTTGTATTGTCTTTCTAATAAATTATATTATCCGTTGGTGATCCCTTCGTATCTCCATTTATTTCGAGAACCGTTCAGGAATACTTGTTCCAGACCTCTAGGAATTCCAAGATCTATGCTGATTAAACTTGAGCCGGTATTTAGGGACTCAAGAAAATGTTTGTGTATCCACATCTGTTTATAAATCCCTGTTCTTGGTTCACACAGACATACTGCACAATACAATTTTGTTTTTAATAGCCCTCTGGAGAACCTGAGGGGTATTTGCATGTTTTGTATTTTCATTCTGTTTTATTATGTATTTTTCTATGACTGTCTGGTCTCAAGTGTTCAGGCTATTGGTAGTAATTCCAATGCCTTTTTTAATATTCTACCAGATCCCCAGATGTTACAACTACAACTGTCACGACTCTTTTCCAAACACTACAATGGCAAAGCATCATGGACATTGCAGTTCTAACACATCTGGGATCTACCCTTTGTCCACCCATATTTTAAGGGTCTCTGATATAATTCATACTAGAAGATAGTTAAAGGGACACTATAGTCACCCAGACCACTTCAGCTCAATGAAGTGGTCTGGGTGCCAGGTCCCCCAGGTTTTAACCCTTCAGATATAAACATAGCAGGGTTAATCCAACCTCTAGTGGCTGTCTTTCTGACAGCCACTAGAGGCGCATCTGCGACTCTGAATGCGAAATTCGCATCCAGCATGCAGAACGTCCATAGGAAAGCATTGAGCATTCCGCTCCACTCGGGAGCTGACGTCAGTGGGGGAGGAGAGGTCACCAGCGCCGAGGCAGCCCGGCGCTGGATTAAGATAAGTAACTGAAGGGGTTTTAACCCCTTGAGCGCCAAGGGAGGGGGGCCCTGAGGGTGGGGGGATCTTAAGGATGCTACAGTGTCAGGAAAACAAGGTTGTTTTCCTGACACTATTGTGATCTTTTAAAGGGACACAGCTGTTGTGCCCAGGGCCGCCACCAGAAATTTTGGGGCCCCTAACTCAGCTCAGGGTCTGGGGCCCGCCTCCAAATACCGCCCACAGAAATACACACACAGACACAAACACACACACTGATACAAAAGGACACAGATACATACTAACAGACACACATACTGAAACAGACATACACGCATACAGGCATACATACTGACACACACATACTGAGACATACACACATATACAGACACACAGGCATACATATTGACAGACAGACACATACTAACATACACACAGACACACATGCATGAGGACATAAAGACACATACATACATACACACTGACATACATACAGACACCAACATACATACACACATACATACATACACACATACTGACAGACATACAGACACTGACATCCATATACACATACATTCATAATGGCATACATACATACATACATTCATTCAGACTGACATACATGCATATATAGAGACAAACTGACAGACATACATACATACTGACATACATGCATACAGACTTCCATACACACATACACACAGACATACGTTCATAATGATATGCAGACATACATTCATACTGACATACAGACATACATATATACATACATAATGATATACAGACATACATTCATATATACATACATACAGACATACATGCATACATATATACATACATACTGACAGACATACGGACATACAAAATGACATACAGACATACATTGATACTGGCATACATACAGACAGACATACACACATATATACATACATACAGACAGACATACAGACATATATACATACATACAGACATACTGACAGACAAACATAATGACATACATTGATACATGCATACATACATTCATAATGACATACAGACATACATATATACATACATAGACATACATATATACATATATAGACATACAGACATACATACAGACAGACACACATGCATACAGACATACAGACAGACGGACGTACATGCATACTGACATACAGACATGCATACATAGACATACATGCATACAGACATACATAGACATACATACATAGACATACATGCATAGACATACATGCATGCATACAGACATACATACACACACACAGCTCATTTTTCAGCCACCATCCTGTCTCTTACCTTTTCTTTGCAGGAGGGTGGCTGGGGCTGATAGAAGTAGTCGGCACGGCTCTCCCTCTCTGCCGGGCGCGTGCTCCTCCTGCGCAGAGTGAGCTGGGAGGAAGTGACCACTTCCTCCCAGCAGCACTTGCTGCGGCTGCTTTTTTTTTTTTTAAAGGGGCCCCTGAAGATATAGGGCCCATCGGGTGGCCCTAAGTGCATGGGCCACCCGATAGGCCCCATCAGTGTGCGGGGTTGTCACCCCCTGATGGCGGCCCTGGTTGTGCCTAATCATTAAATTCATGAACACCAATTCAAAAAGTAATAATCAATACCTAATAAGGTTTAAAACGATATTGGCAGGCACACAACCCAGTTCGGGATGAGTATCTTAAACTATAGGAAAAAGAAATCACACAGAGACCAAGTTGAATATTAGAATTCACACCACACTTTATTTTCTCATTTAAGTTATCGCATGCATTCACTTCAAACAGCTTAGTATCTGGATATATCAGCTTAAGTATACATCACCATTAGAGGGGTCTAGTTGTCGCTCCACTGCACACGACTGGGGGAACTCAGGCAGTCAGACTTGGAGGGACCCTCTCTTCTGGGAACAGCAGAGACCAGCAACACGCGTCCGTATTACAGGTGGGTAGTTCTCCAAACCGAGTGCCAAGTTTCTCCGTCTTTTATACGTTTTCTTATCAGTGCAGCCCAGCATGTATATGTCATGCGCATTGAGTAATCTTTATGGTTGATCAGGCCAGTCATGACCACCCAAGGCCCATGCCAGACACATGCGGTACCCTTTCTATAAAGCTATGTCCCTATACTCTTGTCTTTCTAAACATTGCTGGCACCAAATCCCACTTTTAAGCACGTAGGCCACTTTGGATATTGGCCAGACATGTTATAGAACATTCTATGCTGTGTCATCTTGTTTTAATTAGTTGAATTTCTTAGTGAGACACAGTTTAAGACAAGTGCCATCTTAGCTATCTATAATAGTTTAATTTGCTCAATAGTGATCAATCAATCATGCTTAATAAAAATGGAATATTATTATCACATTCCATCCCTTGGTCACTAAGTGAGCAAAACCTCACACATTTACGCATGCCATTCAGGTTATCAGCAGGGGGCAAGCCCATTTACCCACTGACCCCCAAATATTGTTCCATTCACACCTGGAACCAATTCACGCAATAAAGCTCTCCGAGTCGAGGATCACCTAAGTTAGCCAATTTTAAACAGGATAAACCTGTAGCTCAAACCTTAGGACATACCTCTTCCCGCTTAACAGTCCTAATCATGAGGGCGATCTGATTTTCTGTAGTGAATATCAAAACTTCTAATTAAACTCTTCTAGCTCTATACTCACATTTCTTTTTAATCTAGCCACTCTTTGAATGCAGCAAATTGTAATTTTGTAGCATAGATAAATACAAAGTATTAAAAAAAACACACCACACAATTCCTTTTAATATTTTCAACCCAAGTCCACTTATCCATGTACGTAGGCCAAATGTGCAGTCAAAGTCTTTTGTAGCATTAGTTAGCCAGTGTCCTAAGTCATCCGTGGTTAGTGGTTTTCTAAAGCGTTTCTGTATCTCTTCAAAATGATGAAGGTCATGCTTAATTTTCCCTGATTCGTCTTCTATCCACACACAACATGCCTTGGCTTCTATTCTTTTGCACACTCCTCCTTTTGCTGCAAGCAGGTAATCTAAGGCTATTCTGTTCTGCAAAGCTACCTGTCTAATTTGTTCCTGTTCATAATTAAGTAGGCTGAATGTTAACAAATCAAATGAATCGTTTGGCAGCTTAATATAGTTCATTGTCTCAGTTTCATTGTGGCTGAAATAGCCTTCTCCATACAGGCTTGCCCTCATCTTTGGACAATCATTAGTCAGTCAGGTTACTCTTATTTTCATCTCTTTCCATTTCATCTCTGCGGAATCACTCTGGTCAAAACCTCCGATCTCGTTGTTGGTATCTGAACCGACCAAAAGGTGTGGAGTAAGCTCAGCCATCATAATAACGGCCAGACCAATGAACTTTGCCTGTAAAGATACAACTCATTTTACTCTCTCAAATAACATTTGCCCAAAGGCACATTTTCCATTTATCTTGACCTGACTTGGAGAGTATCATGGTATTGTCACTGCCTGTTGCAATAATGTCTGCTGGTTCTGGGGGACCTTTCTCTGTCCTCATCCAGACTTTGGCCCCTGGATTTAGGTTACTAGAGACAAATCCCTTATCTCTTCTAACTGTTTGTGAGATGGAGACTGTTGCTTTGTGTACCTGTCCCTGGTAAATGGGGATGATAACCAATTGGGCGATTCTGTCCCCTTCTTGCACTACCAAGTCTTGTGGTCCCTGATTTATTTCTCGTTGGTAATCAGCGTCTATTACCCCTCCCATTAGGTGTATCCCTTTAAGGGCAAGGCTAGGCCTGGGTGCAATTAGTCCAAAGTGTCCCGGGGGGTATCTGTATTCCTATACCTGTGGGGAACATCTGTACTTGCCCTGTTTGAAGTCTTTCTTCCTTTCAGGCTCGCAAGTCTATTCCTGCAGCCTCTGGTGTAGCCCTGTATGGTGCCAAGGCTTCCTCCTCTGTTTCCCAATATGTGATGGTGTTAGTTGCTACATATGGTTTAGCTTGTATATTGGGTGCAATCATTGAGGGGAGTGTCATGATCTGAAAGTGACCTATTGTTTAAGATGTTCACAGCTGTAGGCAAGTTATCTCTCCATTTGTGCATGGTCCCTTCACCAAGTTTTCTCAATTGTTGTTTCGACAACCCATTCATCCTTTCAATCAGACCAGCTGCTTGAGGATAATAAGGTATGTGACATATCCATTCAACATTAAATATAAAGAGAGAGAGAACATAATCTGTCCTAATAGACTGGGATCCTGAATAAATTAGACACTTAAAATCTAACGTTTAATGGATATAATTAAAAAGGTAAAGTAACCTTAAATCTCAGGCAGGGGATAGGGAAAATATATACAGGGGATAATGATATATACAAACAAGAAATTATATAAAGTAGTAAATGACTTAAATAGAGCTACTTAAACAAAAAGATGCTTAGTTATGAAGTACTGACTCCAAAAAAGTATCTAATGTGATAGTAGCTGTTATAGGAAAGGTAAAGATCTTTTTAGTAGCAAAGAATTAGATCATAGAGGGAGAAGGGGGAGATCACCTAAATGTCTAGTTCAGTAAAACTGAACTTGTAGTGAATTCTTATCTTAAACCTCTAATGGCAAATGCAATCGAGAAAAATAGTGCATATAGTAATAGTATAAGATCTGTAGTATATACTTATAGTGTTAAAGTTTAGAATACTGAGAGTTAGCAAGATAAAATCACTTGTTCTGATCAGTAAGTGTCATGCAATGAAGCCCCAAGCTGTCTAGCGGTTGATTGCTCAATACTAAATTTAGCAGAAATCTATGCCAATTCTAACCGTTTAGCTATAACCCTACAGCTCTGCCTTCAAGGGCACCTAATTCTAAACTGAACCAAGAGTTAACAAAAATACCGATAACTAAGATGCACTGTGTGAACTTAACCCTCGCATAACCTCTGGAATAAGGACTGCCTAGCCCCACAAAAAGAAATATTGTCAGCAAATCCGAGGTAAGTATCTGGACCAGGTAGGAGTAGAAGAGGAATGGTTTTAAGCTAAGGGTGAGTAGGTCAGCTGAGCCCCGACGCGCGTTTCGCAGGTAAGGCGGCTCTTCAAGATCAGAACAAGTGATTTTATCTTGCTATCCCTCAGTATTCTAAACTTTAACACTATAAGTATATACTGCAGATCTTATACTATTACTATATGCACTACTTTTCTCGATTTCATATACCATTAGAGGTTTAAGATAAGAATTCACTACAAGTTCAGTTTTACTGAACTAGACATTTAGGTGATCTCCCCCTTCTCCCTCTATGATCTAATGCTTTGCTACTAAAGAGATCTTTACCTTTCCTATAACAGCTACTATCACATTAGATACTTTCAGATAGTTACTTTTTTGGAGTTAGTACTTCATAACTAAGTATCTTTTTGTTTAAGTAGCTCTGTGAAAGTCATTTACTACTTTATATTATTTCTTATTTGTATATATCATTATCCCCTGTATCAGTGGCGGATCCAGAGCCTGATCTCGGGAGGGGCACTTGTAGATTATTTAAAGAAATAATCCAGACACAATAACCACTACAGCTCAGTGTAGTGGTTATGGTGTCAATGGTGCCGGGACTCCCTCCCAGAGTAAGTAGTCAAACCGTTTAAGAACAGTTTGACAACTTACCTGAGGTCTGCTGGGAAATGGGGCTGTAGTAGGGCATAGGAGCAGTGGTGCAATGTGTAGGGGGTGCAGTGTGTTTGTGAGGGGGACAGTGTGTGAGCAGTGTGTGAAGGTTGCAGTGTGTGAATGAGGGCTGCAGTATATGTCAGGGGTGTAGTGTGAGTGTGTTAGGGGGTCAGTGTATGTGTGGGTCAGTATTTGTGTGTGACATTTGCAGTGTGTGTGTGTGTGTGTGTGTGTGTGAGGATTGCAGTGTATGTGTGAGTGTGGGGCCATGTGTGTGTATGGGGGACAGTGTGTGTGTATGGGGGCAGTGTGTGTGTATGGGGGCAGTGTGTGTGTATGGGGGCTGTTATGTGGTGCAGTGTGTGTGTATGGGGGGCAGTGTGTGTGTGTGTATGGGGGGCAGTGTGTGTGTGTGGGGGTTGTGTGTGTGTGTAAGGGGGGCAGTGTGTGTGTATGTGGGGCAGTGTGTGTGTGTATGGGGGGCAGTGTGTATGGGGGCAGTGTGTGTGTATGGGGGAAATGTGTGTATGGGGGCAGTGTATGTATGTGTGTGGGGGGGAGCAATGTGTTTGTGTGTGTGTGTTATTATAAAAAAGCCCCCTACCCTTCTTATCACACACATTGCCCCCCCACACACATACACTGCCCACATACATACATAATGAATTAAAAAAAAAAAAAAAAACACATATAAAAAAGCCCCCAAACCCTTCTTATATTTTTTTTTTATTTATTTAATTTAATTAAAATAAAAATGTGTTATGTCCCCCCTCCCTTCTTACCTTTATTGAGGAGGAGGAGGGGGGACATTTCTGGATGCCTGGTGGTCCGGTGGGGAATCCCTTGTGGTCCCAGTGGTAGGAGTGAACTCTAGCCCATAGCTCCAGGGCTAGAGTTAACTCTCGTGAGTTTTTGAGCGTTGCCGTGGTAACCGCGGCAACGCTCCGTGTTTGGGGGAGTAGGACCCAGAGAAGCTGCAGGCTGAGCTCCTGGGTCCTCTCTCACTCCCTCACCTGCTGGCTGTCAGCACTGTGCCTGCGGACCGGGGAGGGAGATCTCTGATCTCCCCTCCGGTCCCGGTCCGTGAAGGCACATTGCAGGGCTGGCACTTGGACAATGCCAGCCCTGCATTAGCCGGCAGGGGAGAGGGAGACCGTCGGTTTTCTTGGGATGGGGAGGGGGTTATTGCCCCATTGCCCTCCCCCTGGATCCGCCACTGCCCTGTATATATTTTCCCTATCCCCTGCCTGAGATTTAAGGTTACTTTACCTTTTTAATTAAATCCATTAAACATGATTTTAAGTGTCTAATTTATTCAGGATCCCAGTCTATTAGGACAGATTATGTTCTCTCTCTCTATATATTTAACTTTTGTGAAGGGTTACCCCCCTCTATTCTATCCTTCAGATACTAATCATACACTTACAGCTTTTTTTCTTCTCTTTTTGTGAATCCATTCAACATTGTTGTCATTACAAAAGTCTTGTACCAATTTTCCTGTAAAGTGACTTTCATTGTCACTCAATCTGTAATGGAAGACCATAGTACTGTATCATGGTTTCCAATATTTTAATAGTATTTTTTGGGGTAGCCCTTTTGCAAGGGTGAACCAATAAATACCCTGAATATGTATCCACAGCCGTGCATACATATTGACAATTTTTACTCATAGGAAGTGGACCTATGTAATCCACCTGCCATATTTGCCCTGTTGCTTTTCCTCTTTTTATTTGACCTCGTACAATCCCTGGTACATGTCTATTCTGCTCATGCTGACACACTGGACATTGCAGAATTACTGTTTTAATTAAATCAAGCGGCACTAAAATGCCTCGCTGTTGCGCCCACCTGTGAGTGTCTTTCTCTCCTAAGTGTCCACATTTCTGATGGGCCCAATTAGCCAATCCCAAAAGTGAGTTAGGATTTTCCACAGACGCCTCTGAGATCTTGGCTTTCTCGTCTGCAACAGAGTTAAACAGACGATCCAATGAGTCAGTATTGCAGTGAGCATCAGCATGAAAGACTGTTACCTCATTTTGATGTACCATCTCCCATATCTGCTCCCACAAATTTTTTCCCCAGACTTCCTTTGGTTGGATCATGAACTGATGTGACTGCCATGTAGGCAACCATATAGCTAGTCCATTGGCAACAGACCAGGAATCTGTGTATATATGACAACTTCCAGGCATCTCTTGTTTCAGAGCCTGAAACACTGCATATAACTCTGCATACTGGCTACTTTTTCCTGTCCCTGTTGTAGTCAGAATTTTCTTGGTTTCTGGATTGTAAGACACTGCTTTCCATTGTCTTTCATTACCAATGTTTTTTGCTGAACCATCAGTAAACCAAGCATGTTTTGCTTGATCCTGTGTTAGTTGCGCAAAAGACTTCCCCCACTTTACTGGAGATTGCCCTGGCTTGTCTGCTTCTGGCAGATAAACAGGTTCTTGTACTGGCGCATCTGCAATTTTCTTATGTAGTACAGCTGTACCCCTATTTCCTGTTTTAGCTCTATCCTGTATGTACCACTTCCATTTTATGATACTGGATTCTTGTGCATGATCTATCCTATGTGTCTTGGGGGAACTAAGTACGCATTGCATGATAGGTATCTCTGGGCGTAAGAACACCGTATGTTCTACCGTTATTTGTTCAGTATCCACCAAGGCCCAATAACAGGCCAAGAGCTGTCTCTTTAAGGGTGTGTACCTCTTTCCTGCCTCGGGTAACTTCCTTGTCCAGAAACCAAGGAGAACCTTAGTCCTTCCTTGTTTCTGCCAAAGGCTCCAATTAGCCCATTGCTGATTTACTGATACATTTAAGTCTATGTCTCCATCTTGTATGGGCCACAGATCAAGGGCTTGTTGGTTAGCTTGTTTAGCTCCCTCAAATGCATTCTGTTGCTCTTCTCCCCAATCAAAATCATGTACTGCTTTATATGTACTACTTTAGTAGCTGGTGGTAGTTGCACAGGGGGTATTAATTTTCCTACCACCACTGCTCTGGCTGATATATAGGGTTTAGTCTCAAAACTGTGACAGCCATCCCCCAAATGCAAGGTCAATCCTTTAAGGATATCAATTGTAATTATGTATTCAGGTATGGGGACAATTAAAACTGAATACTTCTTTTTTGGCAACTGTCCAATTTTCAGTTCTACCCAGGTCTCAACTGCTTCTGTCCTCTTACCTCCCAGACCTGTGATTACATAGGGTAATCCAACAAATTTCTTAGGGTTTCCATAAATTAAAGTGGCCTCGGCTCCAGTGTCTGCAAGGGCAGTAACCCTTTCAACATTTTTATTCTCCCAGTGAATTTCAACTTTTACATGGGGTCTATGATCTTTTACTGAAAAATCAATCACTGGAGCCTGCCTCACAAGTCAATTACTATCTTCTAGGTCTGTCAAATCCAGGTCTCCCAGGTTTGGCAATTCCATGTGTGTGTATTCTTTAAGTGTCTTAAGTACCTCACCACTTGCTGTCTCTTTCTGCAAATTAGGGTACAATGAACTCACTTTCCTTTCCTCACTTGCCGCCATCCTTTCCAACAATTCCTGTAAAAGCTTGCTAATTACACAAAGCTTTTTGAAGATCTTATCCAATTCATCCCCAACCTTTCCAAGCAAGCTAGCCACCTCTCCTCCTCCTGACAAAAGAGGTGCTGTAGGAATCAAAGTGGGTAGCTTTGGTGGTTCCATCGCCTGGGGAAAGGATGGTGCTTTTTCTCGCCATCCACAAGGGTTTGGGGCATCTGTCCGTAGGCTATTTACATTGACTCCTTTCTTATGAAGTCCTTTTTGCTTGTATAGCCTCCAGAGTGTAGGGGTTTCTTTTCCATCAATATGTTCTTTACTTACACCCTCTCTGATGAGAGCCTGGAACATTTCTTTTCTACTTACCCTGCTTTTATTATTTGTATCCTTTGGTGTCCCAGATGGTCTGAATGTTGATGGACCTGGACTTGCTAAGCCTCCCTCACCAGGGTTCTTGGGTGCCTGGGTCCTGGGTGCCCAGTCTCCCGATTCTCTTAATTGCATAATGGCTTCAGTAACCAATTGCAATGAGTTTCCTGTTTGATTTTTAAGCAGTGTCACTATTACCTGCTTATATGCTGGAGGGGCAGTCTTTATGATCTTATTTCTCATTTGAACTGTCACAGGCATTTCCATCAGTCTATCCAGCTGTTGGGAATTCTGGATAGCCTGTCTGACCATCTCCTGTTTCAGTTTCCTTACTGCATTTGCCAGCCCGTACCATGGTTTGTCATTATCTGGCCAGTCACTGACAGATGGGTACCTCAGTTTCAACCCTATCTGGACAAGCTCAAGGAGGGTGAGTGAAGCCGGATTCCCTTCTATTGCAGGGGGTCCATTTAACAACATCCTCCTGACATTCTCGTCCTCTGAGATAGTAGCCAACTTTGGTGAGCCTATGGCATCAAGATTAATGCCTCCTGCCCCTGTTTCAGCTAGTCTGACAACCCACTCATCCAGCGGTTCCTTTGACCGCTGTCTGAAGGTTGAAAGAATATCAGCCATCTCTTGCTGTGTATAGTCTTCCATAGAGGTCCTGCTAACTTGCCCCAGGTCAGTGTACTCCAACTTTCTTCTGACCACAGGCAATGCATTTACCCCTTCAGACTCTTCATCTGAGCTCCAGATGTTTCCATCCCAAGTTTCAGGATCCCAATCGAACCCTGCCTGTGCTAAACACACCTGCATCTTCCTCTTGCTAATCCTACAAATTCCAACCTTTCCCTTAGCTTTTGTTACTTTTATCGCAGATTCACAACTTCTTTTCTGCAACTTATCTTTTGGAATCTTTTTCAGACAAGCAAGAAGGTTAGTAGGCATTTCAATTTCACTTTTTTCACATTCAGAGTCACATTTACCAGCTGAACAAGCCAATTCTCTGGCAATGGATGCATATGGCTCATCTTCCCATCCGGGAATTATGGCGCCATCACCCTGTTTCTTATTTTTTTTAAACATTGCGCAAATATCCTATGGTTTCATCAGAAAAACTTGCACTCCTTGGGGATGTTAGTTCTGTGTGTTTATTTAATTTCACTTGAATGTGTACTAATCCAGACGCCTGGTGTTTGTCTTATTGTCTTATTCTTCACTCAATCCTGCCCAGGCGACTATTCTGGCTGCAGGTTTGCGCTCCTCGACCTCACTGGCTTTCTATACACTCCGTGAAGTGTATAGGGCGTCTATGATTAAGCCAACAATCTCACACTTTCAGGCGAAACAGCCGTTTCATTCACTTCCCCTGTCAGTACTGGTTTCCAGCACCTGTTAAGGCGCGTAGGTGCACTGTTACTGACCAAGCACAATCACCCATTCGTGTCAAAATCACCCCAAAGAATCTTGTGGTATTGGTGACCTTATCTCAATACCTGGTATTGAGCTTATTGAATTTGCAGCAATTCAGTCTTATTCAGGAAACTAGCAAGTTTATGGGTATCACTCCCCAGCCAGCACTGGCGTTCTACAAACCTTCAAGGTGTATAGGTGTGTCTACTGACTGAGCACAACTTGTATTGTTGAATCAATCTTCAGAATCACTCCTCGAACTTTTGATTGAGCATTCACACATCAATCTTGCTCTGGCAACGTCATGCAATTATTTTCAATTTTGCACAATGTTCAGAGAATATCTAGAAACAGTGTTGACTGTTATCTAATCTTACAATCTCTATAGTATATTTACTGCAGCACTCGGAAGAAACTGACAGCGTTTAAACGGCTTTTTTCCTTCGTGACGCAGCAGAAACTAAACCTCGTACAATGTTAGTTTCACTTTACTCACAGTCTACATAAACAGTTCTAACAATTTTTAAACACAATATTCTTATTTTAAACTATTTTAAATGGCTGATTTCAAGTTTCCTTGCTCAATTAATACTCAACCCTGCTCACAGCGTCACAATGTTGTGCCTAATCATTAAATTCATGAACACCAATATTCAAAAAGTAATAATCAATACCTAATAAGGTTTAAAACGATATTGGCAGGCACACAACCCAGTTCAGGATGAGTATCTTAAACTATAGGAAAGAGAAATCACACAGAGACCAGGTTGAATATTAGAATTCACACCACACTTTATTCTCTCATTTAAGTTATCGCATGCATTCACTTCAAACAGCTTAGTATCTGGATATATCGGCTTAAGTATACATCACCATTAGAGGGGTTTAGTTGGCGCTCCGCTGCACATGACTGGGGGAACTCAGGCAGTCAGACTTGGAGGGACCCTCTCTTCTGGGAACAGCAGAGACCAGCAACACGCGTCCGTATTACAGGTGGGTAGTTCTCGCAACCAAGTGCCAAGTTTCTCCTTCTTTTATACGTTTTCTTATCAGTGCAGCCCAGCATGTATATGTCATGCGCATTTAGTAATCTTTATGGTTGATCAGGCCAGTCGTGACCACCCAAGGCCCATGCCAGACACATGCGGTACCCTTTCTATAAAGCTATGTCCCTATACTCTTATCTTTCTAAACATTGCTGGCACCAAATCCCACTTTTAAGCAAGTAGGCCACTTTGGATATTGGCCAGACATGTTATAGAACATTCTATGCTGTGTCATCTTGTTTTACTTAGTTGAATTTATTAGTGCGACACAGTTTAAGACAAGTGCCATCTTAGCTATCTATAATAGTTTAATTTGCTCAATAGTGATCAATCAATCATGCTCAATAAATATTGAATATTATCACAACAGCACAACCCTAAATCACTTTACCTTGTGAATTGCTTTATGTGTGAAAAATGTGCCCTCTTTTTTTCATTTTAATATAAATTTGCACTTTTATTTTATATTCTTTATACTACACGATACAGCCATTTTTTGTAAAATATTGAAAAAGGTTAAACAACCATAATAGTAAATAAAAGAGAAGACATTTGCTATTTTATAAATTAATCTAGTTACACCCCCTCCCCCCCCCAGCTGTCAATCAAACAACTTGTTCTGTTACTTCCTGGTTTGGTTAGCTCAGTGAAGATAAACTCAAGAGGCAGCAATTGCCCAGAGCACCTGCTTTGCAAAGACTTCTCATTGAGCTGCATTTGGGAAGTTTGTGATTGGACAGCCACAGAAAGTCTGGGCTTTATTTTGTATTCTGGCAGTAGCGTGTCACTTAAAGGGATCCTATAGTGCCAGGAAAACAAAGCCATTTTCCTGGCACTATAGATTTCTAAGGTCCCCCCTCTCTCGGTGCTGAAGGGGTCACTTTCCTGAATCTAGCGCCGGTGTCCCTCTGTGTTGGGTCAGGCTCCCCCACGCGGAAGTCGGCATAGGAGACCTAATGCACATGCACGGCAATGGCCACACTTGAATAAGGATTTTCCCATAGGAAAGCATTAATCAATTCTTGATTTTGGCAATTCGGCACCCGAATGTCCGAAATGCCCAAAATTAGTCCGAATTCACATTTGGACCGAAAGGAAATGCACATGTCTAGAGAGGCTTGCTCTATCAATGTTAATTAAGGAACTGCCTAAATTCTTTATTTTGACGAGTCCTATAGAAACCCATCCAGTGCTAGAGCATCTGCACTTTCTGAGGATTTTGGAAGGGTACAAATAAATGTGTTTGGATTGGACCCCATAAATTCTGTGTTTTTTGTGAACATAGCTCTAAGTAGTTGTCAATCCCTGTGATACATCAAATATCTAGTATTCCAGTGAGCAGCTTTATTAGCAGAGATTGGACAAATTCTTTGGCTTGCTTTCACCCAGATTAATCACATTACAAATGCAGATACAGTATGTTTTCCATTCTCAGAAAGACGGGACGAGAGACTCCGTGTACTCACAAGCAGTTTACATTTTGGACATTTCTGGCCATGTACCCACTACGTGTATCCCAGCTGCATCTGCTGGCATCGCATTCTATCACAATTCTAAGAGATACTTCAAAATTCGCTCTTCCATTCCATGTGCTCATTGCCATCATTGTGAGTCAGTTTGCCTCCAGATCTAAATGAGTTTTCCTGAGCACGTCACACATATAGGCAGTTGTTTTGTTTTCGATCTTTTTAAAGCCCTGTACTATCGAGGCCCTTGGGATACAGATTGAATGCAGGCTGAGAGCATCCTTTAATAAATAAACAGTCTCGGTTTAAATGGCAGAATTTCCTTTCTGATAAATTTTGATTGGGAACCTGGGTAACTCAATAACACCTAGAATTCACAATGGATATGTCTATATGTGTGTCTATGTGTTTGACTGTTTACCTCTTAGTGACTGATTGCTATGTTTACATGAGTTCTTGTGTGGGTTACTGAGGTCTTTGTATTTTTTTTTTCTTTCAGTGAGCAAAGGCCACTTCCTCCCTCCATACAGAGAGCGACACAGAGAGCACTGGCCACTTCCTCCCTCCATACAGAGAGCGACACAGAGAGCACTGGCCACTTCCTCCCTCCATACAGAGAGCGACACAGAGAGCACAGGCCACTTCCTCCCTCCATACAGAGAGCCACACAGAGAGCACAGGCCACTTCCTCCCTCCATACAGAGAGACACACAGAGAGCACTGGCCACTTCCTCCCTCCATACAGAGAGACACACAGAGAGCACTGGCCACTTCCTCCCTCCATACAGAGAGACACACAGAGAGACCAGGTCACTTCCTCCCTCCATACAGAGAGACACACAGAGAGCACAGGCCACTTCCTCCCTCCATACAGAGAGCCACACAGAGAGCACAGGTCACTTCCTCCCTCCATACAGAGAGCGACACAGAGAGACCAGGTCACTTCCTCCCTCCATACAGAGAGCCACACAGAGAGCACAGGTCACTTCCTCCCTCCATACAGAGAGCCACACAGAGAGCACAGGCCACTTCCTCCCTCCATACAGAGAGCCACACAGAGAGCACAGGCCACTTCCTCCCTCCATACAGAGAGCCACACAGAGAGCACAGGCCACTTCCTCCCTCCATACAGAGAGCCACACAGAGAGCCCAGGTCACTTCCTCCCTGCATACAGAAGCCACACAGTGAGCACATGCCACTTCCTCCCTCCATACAGAAAGCCACACAGAGAGCACAGGTCACTTCCTCCCTCCATACAGAGAGCGACACAGAGAGCACAGGTCACTTCCTCCCTCCATACAGAGAGCCACACAGGGAGCACAGGTCACTTCCTCCCTCCATACAGCGAGCACAGGCCACTTCCTCCCTCCATGCAGAGAGACACACAGAGAGCACAGGCCACTTCCACCCTGCATACAGAGAGCCACACAGAGAGCACAGGCCACTTCCTCCCTCCATACAGAGAGCCACACAGGGAGCACAGGCCACTTCCACCCTGCATACAGAGAGCGACCTGTGCTCTCTGTGTGGCTCTCTGTGTGGAGGGAGGAAGTGGCCTGTGCTCGCTGTATGGAGGGAGGAAGTGACCTGTGCTCTCTGTGTGTCTCTCTGTATGGAGGGAGGAAGTGGCCAGTGCTCTCTGTGTGGCTCTCTGTATGGAGGGAGGAAGTGGCCTGTGCTCGCTGTATGGAGGGAGGAAGTGACATGTGCTCTCTGTGTGTCTCTCTGTATGGAGGGAGGAAGTGGCCTGTGCTCTCTGTGTGGCTCTATGTATGCAGGGTGGAAGTGGCCTGTGCTCTCTGTGTGTCTATCTGTATGGAGGGAGGAAGTGGCCAGTGCTCCCTGTGTGTCTCTCTGTATGGAGGGAGGAAGTGGCCTGTGCTCTCTGTGTGGCTCTCTGTATGCAGGGTGGAAGTGGCCTGTGCTCTCTGTGTGTCTCTCTGCATGGAGGGAGGAAGTGGCCTGTGCTCGCTGTATGGAGGGAGGAAGTGACATGTGCTCCCTGTGTGGCTCTCTGTATGGAGGGAGGAAGTGACCTGTGCTCTCTGTGTGGCTCTCTGTGTGGAGGGAGGAAGTGGCCTGTGCTCGCTGTATGGAGGGAGGAAGTGACCTGTGCTCTCTGTGTCGCTCTCTGTATGGATGGAGGAAGTGACCTGTGCTCTCTGTGTGGAGGGAGGAAGTGGCCTGTGCTCGCTGTATGGAGGGAGGAAGTGGCCTGTGCTCTCTATGTCGCTCTCTGTATGGAGGGAGGAAGTGGCCAGTGCTCTCTGTGTGGCTCTCTGTGTGGCTCTCTGTGTGGAGGGAGGAAGTGGCCTGTGCTCGCTGTATGGAGGGAGGAAGTGACCTGTGCTCTCTGTGTGTCTCTCTGTATGGAGGGAGGAAGTGGCCTGTGCTCTCTGTGTGGCTCTCTGTATGCAGGGTGGAAGTGGCCTGTGCTCTCTGTGTGGCTCTCTGTATGGAGGGAGGAAGTGACCTGTGCTCCCTGTGTGGCTCTCTGTATGGAGGGAGGAAGTGGCCTGTGCTCTCTGTGTGGCTCTCTGTATGCAGGGTGGAAGTGGCCTGTGCTCTCTGTGTGTCTCTCTGCATGGAGGGAGGAAGTGGCTTCTCCCATGCAAGTGAGGTATCCACCATAATTGCTACAGTAACCAATCACATAGACGTTACCTCCCACACATCTCCTCCCCTTAGCTTAACAGTTAACATAATTATAACGTGCATACTTTTCCCCAATTCTTGGATGTATCCCAAATATGGTACGTACACCTTTAAATGTGGTACCCCCTGGTAGCCCTGATCTGGGTGAGAAACATATTCAAAAATCACCCAGATCAGACCAGGGGTTTGGGAGTTATGAGGACGCAAAGATTTGACCGAAAATAGTTCCATGAGTTTTGGCCCTGCGGTCGGTCTCTGTTCATGCATCTAAAGTCCCGAAAGTCTATGCCATCTATCGTTGAGTTCGCATTCGGATGAATCCCCTAGTTCGTGGGATTCATCCTACCGAACGACGGGCCGTTCGTGTGTTTTAATCGGTACTTTCTGAAGTCCTTGAGGTCTTAGCGGTGTTCGGTTAGTCGAGTGTCCGAGTTCCAGACACTCGACGACCAAACACCGCTGTTCGGGAGTTTAAGATGGCCGCCACCACGTGTTCGGCTGCCGGAATGGCGGCCACCCAGGGAGTACAGCAGAGCGTTCGTGTTTTTAAACCAGAGGAATGGAACGAGCATACAGGGAGGTAAATTACAGCCACACTTCACACCAGGGTGGTCCGGTTGTTCGGTACTTTAGTTCGGATGGTGAATACAGCAGTTCACATGCAGACGTGTACATCTTTTTACCGAACAACTTGATGAATCTTAGTATGGCTACATATGGTTGTATGCAAATCTGTATAGTCCAGGCACAGGAAAAACTCTTAGGTTCCAACAATAATATTATAAAGGGAATGTATTGGACAGCCAAAGGGGTTCTGCTACAGGGACCTAATGTCCTCCCCTCCCGGCCCCCACCCCTGAGATGTGGGTGGGGGCCCAACAGTAAAATAAGGGGGGGGACCTAATGTCCTCCCCCCTGGCCCTCACCCCTGAGCGGTGGGTGGGGGCCCTAAATACTAATAAGGGGGGGACCTAATATCCTCCCCCCTGGCCCCCACCCCTGAGCGGCGGGTGGGGGCCCTAAATTGGAATAAGGGGGGGAACCTAATATCCTGGCCCCCACCCCTGAGCTGCAGGTGGGGGCCCTAAATACCAACAGGGGGGGACCTATTGACTGAGGACCCCTAGTCACCTGGGGGGACATTTTTTTTAGGGGGGGTAGGACAATAGGTCCCTCCCATTGTTATTTAGGGCCCCCACCCGCCGCTCAGGGGTGGGGGCCAGGGGGGAGGACATTAGTTCCCCCCCTATTAGTATT